ACTCCGCCTGCCACTCGGGCGCGCCCGCCAGCGCTCCTCCCGCGGCCCGCACGCCCTTCCAGGGCGCACCCGCTCCGGCAGCCCGCGCGCTTGGCCCCTCTCACCAGCGATTCTCCCGCGGCTGCACGCTCACCGGTTGCCGTTGCTGAGGCGCGAACCACAGCCCTCGGTGGAGCAGTGGCGCGGCCCAGCAGGCCCGGCGTGGCAGGAAGCGCCCGGAGCGACGACGGCCGCCAGACCAGCAGCTCAGGAGCGTTTCCGGAGCCTCCAGCGCCGCCGGGGGTAAAGGGGGAGTGAGGCCCCGCCCCGGCCCCGCCCGGCCAGCAGGCCCCGATTGGTCTGCAGATAGGGTGGGCGGGGCTAGGAGGAGGGGCAGGGACCGCGGGGGAGCAGAACACCGGCCGGAAGATCGGAGGAGGTGGAGGAGAGGATGCATTGAATGCATGAGCGAATGAATGAATGAGTGAGCCCACGCCCCCCCCCCCCAATGACGGAGAAAACGAATGCCTGGAAAGAAGCCCTCTCCTTGGGTGGGGTGGGGGAGCTGAGATCGGAGCGCATGGAAGCAAGCCTCCCCCATCAGAGCTATCAAAGCTCCTCATTGAGTCACCAAAGTCGTTGTGGCCTTCGCAGTGCCAGGGCCAGCCCTGCCCTGGAGTCCACTCTCCCTACCGAAAGCTCCAGAAAGGGTATGTGTGTGTGTGTGTGTACGCGTGTGCGTGTGCGCGCGCGCGCGCGCGCGTGAGGACCCACCATAAACTAGCAAACACAGGAGTTCATTTCAAAATAGCAGGTATACTTTGAAGGAAAAACAATAGAATCCTGGCATCCTGGGGCTTGCAATAATCACATTTGAACCAGATCTAGATGATTTTATCATCACTCCACACAAAAAAAGAGTTGCTGCTGCCTTGTCGAAGCTGGTAATACACAAGGATAAGCATAGAATGCTTAAGAATGATAAGAATAAGGAGCTCTGGTAGCGTACGTAGTGGTTACGAATCGAGCTGCAATCCGCAAGGTCAGCAGTTCGAAACTACCAGCTGTTCCGTGGGCGAAAGATGAAGATGAGGCTTTCTGCTCCTGTAACGATTTACAGCCTCGGAAATCGTGTACAGGGTCTCTATGAGTCGGAACCGACTCCACGGCACATAACAACAGCAACTTTAGAACAGAGCTAGGAAGAAAAGCCAAGGGGAGTGATAAGGGGCATGGGGGACTTCAGTTAAGTGAAAGACTGAGATGGAACTTTAATGACAAGAAGGACACTGTCATGTGAATGTGATTGAAGGTAGGAAGGGCATCTGGGCATCTGCAGGCAAAAGGAACAGCAAGTGCGAATGTCCTGTGGCAGGCACACACAGCCTTGACATAGTCTGGGACCTGAAGAGAAAATATACATCGCAGGCTGAAGTTGGGAGGTTAAGCAACATGGAAGCCCAAACTCTATCTCTGAGCAACAAGCTGTCTCTCTCTGTTTTATTAATATTTAATGCTTTTTAAATGATAATGGTTATAACCAACTTTAAAAATAGTTTCATAATTATTTTATCCATTAAATGATGATAAGTTTTTTCACACCCTCCCCACATTTTATGAAAACGTTGAAATATACAAAAGAATGGACATAATTGTACCCATTTTGCAACCACCGGTATTCTACAATGAGCATTAGCTATATACTTCTATGTATCAAGAGGGTATACTTCACATCTAAACACTTAACCGTGAGTATCATGAACTAGACATCAAACATCATACAAATAAAACTTGCTTACTGTCTCTACATTTTTAAGGTAAAACTTACATCCTATGAAATGCACAAATATTACTGTGTCCCATGTAGTTAATTTTGACAAATGCATACTCCAAATCCCTATCAGGGATTAACAACACCCTAGAAAGGTCCCATGCCAAACTCCTGGCAGCCTTTACTCCCATCTCACCTACTGGAAACCACTGTGCAGAGTGTTTCCACCATAGATGACTTTTTGCCCATATAAGAACTTAAGATGAATGGGATCATTTTTGTGTCAGGATTATTACTCTCACTATGATGTTTTGGGGACATTATCTATGCTAGTATATACATTAGTGTTAGTGTATCTTTCCTATTATTTAGGAATGGGGCATGTTCTTTTGATGGATTTATCAGAGTTTGTCGATTCACTCATTAGTTTATGGTATGGAGTGCTGGTATGGCACTGTAGGATAAGCACTGGACCACAACGTCGGTTTGATCCACAAGGTCAGCAGTTCAAACTCACCAACTGATTCTTGGAAACCCTATTTATATAGGGTCGCTATGAGTCGGAACTGACTCAATGGCATTTAGCAACAACGATTTTTTATGAGGAGTCCTGGTGTAGTGTTATAGGATAAACCAGAAAGTCGGTGGTTCAAACCCACTAGCCACTCCTCAGAAATCCACAGGGTTGCTATGACCCGGAACAGACTCAATGGCACACAACAGCAAGTTTGTGATATGGGGTGTTTCCGGTTTGGGCTACTATATATAGTATATGCTGTTATGGGATTACCATATGCTTGCATTTTTCTTGGGCAAATACATAGGAGTGGAATTGTGCATGTTTTATAAGAAACGGCCAGAAAGTTTCCCAAAGTGATTGTACAAGCTACATTCTCCCTGCCCTCATAAATGTGAATTTCTTTTCTTCTGTATCCTTGCCAAAATTTGAGCTTGTTAGCCTTTAATTTTAGCCATTCAAATGTGGATGAAGTGATATCTCATTGTGATTTTAATGATTTAGTACTGGCCATTTCTATATTTTCCTTTGAAATATTTTGCCCAATTTTTATGGTGTTACCTTTTTATTCATTTGCTTGTGTCTTTTTAATAATTTTCAAAAACAGATCTATTAGGTATGCTTGGTATATAAGAAACTACACATGCTTAATGTGTGTAATTTGAGTTGGTGCCTTATGCACAATCATGGCTATGTTTGAGCCCATTGCTGCTCCCACTGTGCTATTCCATCTCATGGGGGTCTTCTTCTTTTTCGCTGATCCCCTACCCTCTACTTTACTGGAGTCCTTTAGGGACTGGTCCCTCCTGATAACATTTCCAAAGTATGAGTGATCAACTCTGGCCATCCTAGCTTTGAAGGCTCACTCTGGCTGTACTTCTTTCAAAATGGATTTGTTTGTTCTTTTGGCAGTCTATGGTACTTTTAATATTGTTCTCCAACACCATAACTCAAAAGCATAAATAATTCTACGGTCTTCTTTA